TGACGCCAAGGCCTGACCCATTTTTACTTGATTTATCAGACAGTGTGTAAATTCTTAGTTGATACCCCTTTAAGTTTATAAAAAAAAGGCAGTGTCAGAAGATGAATGGCAAAAAAAAAAGGTTGTGAATGCTGCAGTAGGAGCGATTATCAACTTTTACCCCTGGCCCCAATGAAGTCAAACACTGCATCTGAGCATAACTTTTAGCAAGACCCGATTGCAAACCCATTTTTATAATTGATGGAAACCAAGTGCACAATTGTGCAACACTGGCAGTATAATCCTTTGACATGTAGCAAATAAACATGGCAGCTAAATTTGACACCACTGAGCTGTCAGATTCAAAAATGGATCCACAAAAACATAGATGTGAGTTTACCATCCAGTGCCAACTATGCACCCAAGTGTAACACATCCAAATTCCCAGTGGCTAAAGGAAGAATAAAGAGCCATGACAAGATAATGAACCGTGTGATACACATACTGTAGATTTTCGAAAAGATGACTTCACATCCTAGAAAGCTGACCAAACTTGATCCTTCAGTCCTTTATAACAATGGCAGCCATTGAAGAGTCTGACTCACTTGGGTGAAGCTCTTCTTGGCTTCCTCTGACAGGGAGGTTTGTAACATGCACCTCTCAGTTTATAAAAAGAATGCGAAAAAAATGTGATTTTAATTAAATATCAAGTAAAATATGTACACTTGCATAATGGGTCAATTTTTTTTTTATACTTTCAGAATTAATTTTTTGTAAGTATGAGAATGTAGAGTACAGTTATTCAGAGGGTGTTAAATGTAGTTTGCTTTATTAAAAGTATGGATGACACATTTTGTATTCCTGAACACACACACACACACACACACAAACCTAAAGCAAGGACTTTTACTGCTGTGTAAAAATCCTCAAACAGATTCCAGGTCAGATTTCTCTGGGCATTCAGCTAATGTAACCAGATCTGTCTCTGGTTTGGTCATTTGACGGGAACAGACAAGAAGAGGCCTCTGGAGGTTTCCTCCAGCTGTGCTACGTCTGGTTTGTTATTTTGTTGTTACTATATCTGCATCAAACCTTTTTTTTAAGTTACTGTGCAGACATACAGGCACAGTGCTCAGGTAAAATGACTTCATATCTTAAGCATTTTGTCCTTCTCTTTGCCGACAGTGTAGCTTTTCCACATGCTCACTCGGCAGCAGAGTGGCTGTATATTTATTGCTTTGAATAGGTCTTCATCGCACAATGTGAGTGATACTGGTGTGAAAGTGCATCTGTGTTATGTGTGTGGAAACAAAATACTGTGTGTACTTGAAAAAGTGCTACAAGGGCAAGTGTGTCCACTTTTTGAAAGTTTAGATTATCAGCCTGGTGTAGAAAACATAGGCCTGAAGAATGAATAGTATACAATTTATTTAAAGAATGGACCACAGGAGTAGCTTTCATCCAGACTGTCCTAGCTAAGGCTGCTAATGACTTACTGTTCAGTGATTAATCACCTTTAAGAAATTGATCAATCAAAATATAATAATTGGTGTGGCATCTTTTTGTGCATCTCCTGTACAACAGTTGCACTGATACTTAACTGCACTGTGTGTAATTACCCACAATCCAGATCTCTGACGTGGGCTTACGATTAGTTTTTGATGCAATAGGAGCATCATGGTGAAGGTTATTACTTGAGAAGCTTGGCTTAGCTTGTCTATAAATGTACACTCTTTTGCTTTTAAATGAAAAACTTGAGGGTATAAGTGAAATGAAAACTCCTTCAGTTCAAAGGAAATCTTTGGCGTCTCTCCTGTCATTGCTGTAATGTGGCTACCCCACACCATGGCCCTATTTAATAAAATAAACACCTGTCAAACTTACCGAGCTAGATTATGCAAAACTGATGTGGGACAATACAGTGGTGTAGAGCTGATCGCTGTCGCTTGACAGCAAGAAGGTTGTGATTTTGCTCGCTGGCTTGGGCCTTTCGATGGAGTGAGTTATTTTTTTAAATTTAACTTTATTATTAAAATCATTTACTTGTCTTAATTCTTCATTCATATACCTAACATTCTTTGTGGAACTGGAAAAGCCCTGTGTGTTTAACCCTGTAAAAGCCCAACATATCAAAAAATAGCCAGAACATTCTAATTTTTTGGAACTGTGATGTTTATTAAACCTTTTAACAAAATCCAAATTATAATTCATGATTTGAAATTCAACACTCACGATTTTTATTTGCCATATATGCATAGACAGACAGTCCAGGCATATAGGAATAGAGGTGCCATATTATTTAGATTATTTCCATTTCTTCTGTATCACATTTGATACATGGGACATTTTTGGTGATTTTTTTTTTTTTTTGCTCAGAAACCTTACATATCAAATATGATAAAAATGGTTTTATAGGGTTAAAACTTTCATTATAGAGTTTTCCCCAATGAGTGAATAATTATTTACCATTAATGTCTGACAGTTGATAAGGCAGATATCTTAAAATTCTATCCTTTTGTCGTGGCCTGTTTGCCTTTGTTTTATCATCCCATCCCCCAATTTGAGCAGGATTCCCCTTGTGTCACCTTGATCTATCAGTGGTCAATGCTGTTGTCCTAATCCATCAAAAGCAAGGTACAGCAATGGAGATTAGTGCTATTGGTAAGATTTCCTGGGTGCTTTCCTGCAGGAGATGTCCATTAGTTTATTGTCCTCAAGTGATGCTAAACACAGAGACAGGCTGCAGGGCTGTGTCCAGCACTACTACAACCCTAAATCCCCCTCCCTATCCTTTAAGCAGCAAACTGACCATCTGTTCCAGGTACCAGACCCTAACTCAGTGCTCAAAACACACACTCCAGCACAATTACACAAGCAGGGATACACACAGAGTTCACCATCAGTTCATCACAGTCATTTAATACCCGTCATTGACTGTTGAATGCTTTGTTTGAGGTCATAGTTGATGCATGTTTTCTGTGTCTCATATGGGTACGTGCCTATATTTGGAAAGGAGAGTGGTCCTGTGCTTATGTCCGTTTCAAAGTTGTTGAGGCAACGTTTGGCATGACAGGTTGTGTAAGGGGAGACAGGAAATGACCAGGCAGGGTTGCAGCATTGTATCATTTCCTTGCTGGAGTGCTTTGTACTCCACTCTGCACACTAATTATATATGTCCCTGTTCCATTTCCTGTTTCAGCTTTTTTTTTCCTGATGGGTCACACTGCAGTTAGAAACTAGGTGGGGAGCATGATCCGTTTTCTTCTCCATGAATTCTGATATTCATCATAAGTCTAAATTATAGTGATGCCTGTAAAGACAGACATTATATCTAGAGGTGTCTTTGTATTTTTGCCCTCCCCAGCTACATATATGAAAGGGTCAGAATATTAGCAACACCTCTGAATATAATGTAGTCCAGTACAACACCATCTTTAACTATGACCTCAAAAATAAACACAATTTAATTTATACATTTATGACAATTTCTTCAAAAACCTAAACAGTTTGAGCCTCATAAACAGATGTTAAGGCAGAAGTATTGCACTGAAGTGCGTACAATTGTACAGGTGTACCTCATGGCTGGTGAGTGTATATACTGTACATTGCAACAAGAAATGGAAACAGAAGAATGTGTGTTACATCAGTTTTAGTGAACATGCAGTTATTTTTAAAGTGTGCAGTTTTAATTTGTGTTTTACCATGACTTTGATACACTGTACATATATATGCATTTCAAGTGTAGCCAGTAAATTAATTGTATGTGATGTTTATCAATTATTGGTGATTATAACTTAAGAATCAGTGATCTAATGCTTCTTTACTTAGGCTACTTGTCAGACATGAATGCTCAGCAGTCACACTGGGAAAAGAAAAACATGCAGAGGCTACAACACATTGTACGATTAGCAGGGGCAGCTTAAATGCCACACTACAGCATTTCTTTCCTGCATTAAAAAAGCCACGGCTAATGGCAACAAGTTGAAGCTCATTCCTCTGTCTTTTGAAAATCAGTAACCAAAGCAGAAATTGAGATTTGCTGAAGGAAAGTAGAATCAACATATAGACACATTGCAGCATATCGCAGAATAACTCCTGGAATGCCTTGAGCATTTCAAACTGTTGATATACAGTACAAGACTGTAATACCGCCTGGGTTAGGCAAAAGGACGAATACGTCAGCTAATGCAGGCTACGGTCAACACACTCTTCTGGCTGATATAAACACCAAAGAAATTTTGTATTTGTATCACCAGCATTGAAAGCATCTGAGACACGAATCATTATGCTTTAAAATCATTACTGGGCTTGATTCACTGAGTCAGAGCCTCATAATATTGTGTGCAGCATGCAGTGCTCAGCCACAGCTTTTTAAGAGTCATCACATGGATATGTTTTATTGACAGGCTTATACATTTGCAGTTTTGCAGACTGCATACACATAGGGTACTTGGAGATCATATTGCCCCCCAACCACCATTCCCTGCTGTGCTGAATATGTTGGTTATTACTGGTTGTTTTAAGAAGTGATGGCCAATAGCAGAATATTGCCCTACCCTATCTCCTGTGCGCTTACATGTTGTATGAAAATTCCTGTTGAATTGCTCAATTAAAAAAATCTTTAGGTTCATTGTTTCATTCAGATTTAATTTATCAAATGAGTGTGTGACAGAACTATAACAAAACCTGGTGATGGCAAAGAAATTACAAAGCAGCAGAGTGTTCTTGTCAGCAGCTCAGTCATTAAATCCATCCCTGTCCCCCTCTCTCTAATGATGTCTCTGCTGTGTATTAAAGAGGGAACTTGTGAATGGCATGATTGTGTGTTCAGTAAAGTGGATGGCAGCTGCTGGTTTTGGTGTTGGTGAGAGCGTGTGTGTGCGTGTTCATGGTAATCCTTTAGATCCAGTTGATGTATGAGTATGCATGTTGTGCTCCATCAGCAGTTTGAAAGTCATTAAGGGTATTGTAGGTCTGCAAGCTATTGATCCTTTTTTTCCTGTTATCTTTCTCTTTTGCAGTGGTAATGTCTTGAACTGGTGGCCCTTCCAGCCCAGTAAAGGACGTGCCAGAGCCGGGCTGTTGCTAATGGGAACTCCTGCTCCGCCATGAGTGCTCGTGATGGCGTTGGTGGTGTGGGCACCCTGGGCCGGCGGCAGCGCTTTGAGAACTCAGAGTTCACTGTGCGCATCTACCCCGGCGACCTGGCTGAGGGCACCATTTACTGTCCGATCAGCGCCCGCAAGACCACCACAGCTGCCGAGGCCATCGAACGTGTCATTGACCGCCTGCACCTGGACCGTACCAAGTGCTATGTTCTGGCTGAGGTGAAGGAGTTTGGTGGGGAGGAATGGATTCTGAACCCCTGCGACTGTCCTGTGCAGAGGATGATGCTCTGGCCCCGTGTGGCCCTAGAGCACCGTCTCCTCTATGGAGGCGAGGATTACCGATTCCTCCTAAGGCAGAAGAATCTGGATGGTTCAATTCACTATGGTGGCAGCCTCCAGATGTGGCTGCAGATCACAGAGGAGCGTAGGCTCATGGTGCAACGCGGACTGCTACCACACCCTGAATCTGAGGGTGACCACGCAGATCTTTGCTGCCTGGCGGAGCTCAATGAGCGCTCGTTGCTGGACAACCTGCGCTCACGCTTCCGCCAGGAAAAGATCTACACCTATGTTGGAAGCATTCTCATTGTCATTAACCCCTTCAAGTTCCTGCCCATCTACAACCCCAAATATGTGAAGATGTATGATAATCATACACTGGGACATTTAGAGCCACATATTTATGCCGTGGCAGATGTGGCTTACCATGCCATGCTGCAGAGACAGAGGAATCAGTGCATTGTTATATCTGGGGAGAGCGGCTCTGGGAAGACACAAAGCACAAACTTTCTCATTCATCATCTGACTGCTCTCAGCCAGAAAGGGTTTGCCAGTGGAGTGGAGCAGATAATCTTGGGGGCTGGACCAGTACTAGAGGTGAGTGAAAATCACTAGTGTTTTGGGTTTAAAAGAGTGCTTTATCAGTATGGGCTGTTGCTAACAAAGCTGTGCACGAGAGTAGAGACTGGGACTTGTGTCAGACCTATCATACAAAAATGATGACTTGAGACTGGAGTTCTAGGAGACTTTGTTGAAACTTGACTCCCAAAAGACACGGTATGATTCAAGACTTGGTAGCAAAAACAGTAACTTTTTAAAGTACTGATTTTTAAAAATCTTGAAGCAGACTTGCAGGGAGGATACAGATAAAGTGTTGTGTGTTCATGTGAATGGTGTTCTCTATGGCAGGGGACATGTATGATTTCATTTTAAACACTGGACATCTTGAATGTTTTTATTTAAAACCATGGCTAAATATTCTTTCTTTAGTGTAAGTCTAAGTTCTTCAAATGGAAAACAGTTTTTTTTTTTTTTTTTTTTTTAAACTTGAACTGGCTTTAAATTAGATTATGTGCATGTTTATATG